TGCAGTGCAACTGAGCAGGATAGTAGGGGAGGGGGGGGGGTGGAGGTAGTTCCTAGAGATTGGTAAGAAACCCGGAAATAGCCAAAAATGTGCATAAAACACATAAATAGGACGTGTCGGAACTCTTTAATTGAGTTGCTTCGACACTTCCTTTTGAAGAGCTATGCAGCGGTGTTGAGCTAAGAATTCAGTCCACCCAGATGAACTGTCTGCGCAAAATCTATGGGAACGCTTAATAGCAGCAGTATGGGAAGATGGAGGCACTTCTTCGAGCTAGCCCTCTGAAGTCCCTGCAGGCCAAGCATTCCTTCGGAAGTCGTTGTGATATTGAGCGATATTGATTCAACATCGCACCTTCCCTTCATCCAGTAGGAATTACTTCTTTTCTTTTTCCCTGCTCTCATTCATGTTCGTTCCAGATGGTTTTCTCAAGTCAAAAAATGATGCAATGTGGTTCCCGTGGGAGTCTTTGAGTGAACTGCACCAAGAACAACTCACTGGCGGTGTTGACTGATTACTGCTAAGCTCTATTACGGTTCGGTTAGCAAACTATGATCGTCGAACAGTTGGCACTGCAAACGCAAATACATAGAGGATGATTTTTGAGTTGTAGGAACGGACAATGTCACCGAGAACACCGAGAACTTACACTGCACGGCATACGCTCAGTTGGATTGGCTCGGGCTAGTCAACTTTCTGCCTTTCAGCCTTTACAGTACTCGGTTGATGCCCCTTTTTTTACAGAAGATGATGAAGAGTGTCTTATGAGGTGACGATAAGTGCATGACCCATTTTGGGGGGAGGGGGGGAAAGGTCAATAGGTTGGGATTCCTTCTGATAACTGCTTCCTGAAGAATTTGAAAAGACCCTTGTTTACGCCTGATCGAGCTGGTTATGGTGTGCGTGATGCTGCTCACTATGTAGTCATGAAATGTGTTCCCAGACACATTGCTGTTCATAAAATTGAAAGTTGGGGATCGCATTCTTCTATCGGAATAATAAAAATTATGCATGAATATAGCCCGAAGTTCCACATGATCGAAAAGCAAACCCTGCTTTGAGGCCGTGTGGAGAGAGTCGTTATTTTTATTGCTTTGAGGAACCTTACAACGTGTTCTTTTTCTGGGAACGTGTGATTGTCTGAACATTGATCGGAGCCAGATGGTTCATTAGATCAAAAGTTCAGGGCTTTTTCCAGGTATAATGGCATCACTGTAAGTGGGTCGTACCAAGTGGCGCTTATGCTGCAAACGTAGCCCATAGAATTATCAAATCCTCGGTCAGAGGCCACCAGAGCCGACCAGTCTCATTTTCTCGCCGGGTTGATTAGTCCTGAACCCGAAGAGATGATAAAATTGGTCAGATGATCATCTGAGGTGAATGTGAAGGGTGATTCGTGCATCGATTGGACTGCAACCTACATCATAGCTTGGAGAAGGATTCAGAGTAATAGAGAACTCCGGGTAATTCCCGAGTTCATGGCGCATACGAAGGGGAAATCGATAAAGATACAAATTCCGTCCTGCTCTCAGGACCTGATCACTTACCCGAATGCCTCGTGCCTCTGTTTTGCTGCCTGGAGGTGGTCGACCGTAATCACTGGCGTTCTTGTCGAAGTGGGGCACGTTGTACGTATCCGAATAGGGATTCCTGGAACAATCAGACTTACTAGCAAGCAAGGTGTAGCCGCTTAACAGTCTTGGAATTCACCTCAAAGCTACAGTACATCGGGCTACCGTATCTGAGCTTTGTGTAAGAAATTCTACTTTACTCCTTATTCGGTACTTATGTTTCAAAAACATAACAAGAACTTTGTAGGTGAAAATTTGAATTCACTTCAGATACTGGGCACAAGTAGCGGAATCCGTAATTCGGTGATTTTCCTTTCAAATTTGGAGATTAGTCGCACCAAGAATACCGGTAGTGCCATCTTGAAATCCTTATCTTAGCGGGTAGAATTTACAATATTTCTGGTCAAAGTTCCCATTCTTCCTGCTTTCTTCGTTGAATCCCTGAGCCCTTAATAACACAAATCATGTTCTAACTGTCCAATGTGGGTTACTTTTTTTGCGGCAGAATCTCGACGGCCTACCGTTTGTAATAGGATTTATACCCACGGAACGGGAACCCCCTTTCCAACCTCTACCTAGTATTTGACACTAGAGCTTTTTTTATAAATGAAAATCATTCAGTAAAAATTAGGGCAACTTCAGACATTGAATTAGAAAAAGAACGGTATTACGGAAAGTATCAAAATCACGGTCAGTTCAATTCGTTATCCACATAGCTCAGCAAGGGAGATAATCCTGCAAAGCCTGGAAACCAAAATTTGCCCGAGGTATCTAGGACATGCAGCTTTCCAGATGTAACGTTCATGGATCATTAAGAAACCTAGAAGGTTGGATTATCGAGGCAATAGTCTGTTACTTCTCGTATTGTCCTAGTTCGAATCTACCCTTGGACCATACTAGCTCCTCTTGCTCAGACAGCTGACGTAACCAGTATCCTGTGGCCAGTTAGTTCAACCTCTCACGCTGAACCAGATCATACCGATGCAGAGCAAGCCTTCTTTTTAGGGCTGGTTCTATTTGCAATTAGGAGAGCAATATTTCGCCTTTCTTGTTTGCTGGCGTCCCGCTGCTCAGGCCACTGATGCATCCTACGTCTCTGCGATTCCAAGTAGAACTCGGATCGTGGTTCAAACAAAAAGTCTATCCAATAAGAACAGCTGACTGTTTTCCTGATCAAGAACGGAGTTCTGTTTATTTTATTGAACTCGGAACGCCAGTAATCGTTCGATGTAGGCAAATGGCGCTTGAGAGGAACGTTTCCGATCGATTATCATGAACAATTCATTGAGTAAACTGTCAACGAGGCTCTCAAGATAGATTCGCAGAGGTTCTCCGTATCCGACGAAAACATCCAAGGTCATCGTTTTTGCATCGAGATGGGCGACTCCAAAGCCGTTCTGTTGAGCTGCTTGTTTTAAGATTTTGCAGAATCTCTCGCTTTATCGCGGAACGAAAAAAATTTTAGGAAAAAAGCAAGGGAACGGTCAAAGTTATGGCTCCGGGCTTCTTTTATTGTGAGGACTTAACCTCAAGTGCTGATCGACCTTCTGAGGAAGCCGCACAACCAGCCCATTAGGGAATCAGAACTTTTGTTTTCTCTGACTAATTTTCATATTCCGTAATTTTCACTCCTTCACTATGAGCAACGCATTTTCACCACCCCCGTTCTTGACTCTGACGAGCAAGCCACTTCCTTGCCCCCTCGTTTGAACGCAATGAACACCAAGTGTTCAATCATCAGACGAAAGCACTTATCCATTTCTCAGTGGGTATTCATATTGCCAAACAGCTGCCGTCAATGTTTTCAAAGCAAATCCAGCAAGCGTTTCAGCAATGACACATCAGCTCTAGCACTAAGGCGAATTCCATGTACTCGGACTGAAATTCCCACCATTGACTTTCCAAGAAGTAGTCATCGAAAACTGTTACAACTCACCCTTTTTGGATATAACGACAAGGCATGCAGAAAGTTTCCATCCTAATTTTTCTTAATGGAATGATTATATTTACTTAGTTGTAGCCCCACTATCACTTTTCACCACTGTTGTTGCACGTCCCCAACACATTGTTCGGGGTTCAAATTCCGTATAGGCACTCGCCCAGACCTACCAAGTTTTCCATCTCTCCAGCATTGGTTATTGGGTGCCTTTCCTATAATAGGATGGAAGCATTCACTTGATCATCATTTAGTCAACACAGGTCATTGTGTAGGCCCAACACCCATTCAAAACACCACCACCATGCCGAAAGGAAGCTGAATGCGCGGCGCATTCACGGGAATAGTCAATGCTGAAGACTTTACCCTTCATCCTTTATTGATATTTCAGTGCCTATACTATTTGTGTTTTGATTTACCTATTTTCCACAATATTATATTCCGGTTGGCTACGGCGGGTGAGGAGGCGCTAAATATTGAACCGGTTTGAGTGAAATCTGTAACATTAGCGGTAAGATTGATTCGCAAGACTACTTGACGGCTTTTGTTGTTTTTGGCCCTCATGATGCGAACAGGTCGCACCATTCCGTCACCACTCAGAAGAGTTATTCCTGCCTCATGAAACAGTCAGTTGCAATTATTCCCAAACAGAGGTATTGTAGAAGTAAATGCCCAAAGGACCATACATGTAACAAAAGACTGAGATCACTGGCTTTATGAGGGAACGATACCTGTAAATAGCTGACGGCATTCACCTCGCTCTATGTGCTTAGATAAATTAACCAGGATGATCAAACACACTCAGGGAACCACCCAACACAAATGAAAGAATGATGATACCGAAGTTGGCTTCGTTCTAACCGGAAGACCTCTCGTTAAAAGAGAGTTGTGTGGGTTACTACAGTCCCAGGTCAAGGAGAAGCCTCGGCACTGACAACTGACTCGAAGTGCACGAATTTCATGCCATTCTCTCCTGTCCGTCCACCCGGTCAGGCGACAACAACTTTTGAAATAACTTCAGGTGACATGACACATGTCTTTCCAGTTTTCAAGGACTGCCACCGCTTGGATATGACGAAACTACAGATACGAGTTGGAAAGTAACATTTCTGAAGCGAAGCTAGAAGATCTTCGGATGAATAAAACCCATAATGCTATCTGCATACATTATGTTACTGGCAAGGGTGGTGGTTGTTAATGTGGAGGTTTGCGCTCGTATTCTTGGAACTAATTGGAACAGCTGATAGCAGTAATCACGTCGTAATCACTACAAAAAAAAATGCGGACCACTGGAGCTACCACTGAATAGCGTTAAACAAGCACGAGTATAGTAAGTAGTGCAGCTAAGCGAAGCCCATAAGGCCTACAGAATTCATAAATGTGAAATGTAAAAAATCAAAGGCAGTGGTGATCACAGGATGGTTTAGAAAGAGAATTAACTGTTAAGTAATAAATGAGAAGTAATTGAATGCCATCGGTCTCAGGAACCAATGGTTATCTGAGTATTCAGTGCATCATGGCTATGGAATTTCCCAGTCCAGAGCTCTCTTTACCCTCTGAATGACTTCAAAAACAGACCGGACCCATCAGCCTTCCAGCCCCCCCCCCCCCCCGCTTTTTTTGGGAACTGGACATCCTCAACATGTAACTTTTAACCTTGCTCACTAATCAATCCAACAAATATTATTTGGCAGAGGCTATAGCACCGTGCAATTGCAAAAAAAAGGGAAAATTTCAGGGAATTCAGAAGCATTCTGACCTTCGAGATTTTTTTATATTTGAAATTTTTAATTCATTTAGTTGATAAGCTTCCAAATCTCCCAATACTAATCAATATTGCTTACAAAAACCTTCTACGTCCGTTAGTTTTTATCACACCAGCTGCCGCTACCAACTGTCTCAACTGATTTATTCCTTACTATCCCGGGAAAATAATTTGCTTTGTGTACAGGCTTTTGCTAGGCCGATTTTTTTTAATGAGAAACGATACAATAAAATAAATAAAAACGACGAGGTCGACTCTGCCTAAAATTTTAATCTCTCCCCCTTCCTTGTCTTTCACTCAGCAAAAGCTGTCACATATTCCAACACAAAGCTTTACTGCCATTACTTGTGAGGTGACGATTGCTACAGTAAGTAAGAAAGGGTGTAAAAAAAACAGAAATTCGATAATATTTAGCAGTATTTGATGACGAATCTCGAGAAAAGTTGAAATTAGCAGAAAGCAAATACTTGTTCACGCTTAGAAGTATGTTTCCGAGGGCTTTACCAGATTTTTTTTGTTTTCCTGAAAATCTAGGCTCATGTACTGTACCTATTCCTCCTCCCCGTAATGTTATAATCTCCTTCTGGGAAAAAAGATATTTTTAAAAATTCACTTCGTTGGTAGAACTGTGCAAAAGTGGCCTTTGTTCGGAAGTTCCATGCTATCAAAAAAACATTAAAATTTCCAAAATTACTTTATAAAGCATGTAACGAAGTAATGTCGAGAGGAAAACATAAAATGGATTCAAGAGCGATTAGTGAACGAATTTCAACGAAATAAACACTTGTGGAACTCACTTTTTTAGCTCCTCGTCATTCTTAGCAGCGACGGCGTTGAATCGCTTTATAGTTTCACGTGCTGACATGCAATTGAAATGAAAGGCCGGTCGACTAGCCCACAATTATAGGGAATAAATGGGAAAAAATGCGAACAACAGCCGGTTATTTTCGGTGTGAAATGCTGAGACTCAAAGCCGGACAGCTGTTTGGCGGCCAAAGGGGAGGGAATCAGACGCNCGCCCTGAAGGCAGCACTGAAGAATCGATCTCGCATGATCGCTTGGAATGTTAGGTTGTAAAGTTTGAGATTAGGTGAATAAAAACTCGGGCTCATAGCTATGGGGAGGGGGGGGGCACTGCAGTTTCGACACTTTCGTCTTTATGACGTCGTCAAGGCAAGTGTATGTGGCACTCCCGATAAGAATCCCCACTTCTCCATCTGACATGCCTCAGCTGCCATGTGATTCCCGAAAAGACTGACTTTGAGTGCTCAAGACCCTCAAGGTTGGAAAGAACGAGCAAGTTTATGGGCTGTAAAAGGGTTTAGAGCGAAAAGCGGAAAACGACAGATTGCTTGGCCGCTCACAGATCTCTTCAAGTACACTTCGCCTACCCAGCGACCGCCCAGATCAGCACAAGGGTCGAAGCTTCTCCACTGAATGGCATCGGGAGGGAAACCGATGACCGTTGGAAATAATGTGAGCACTCTTATGGATTCCTTCATTCACTCTATCAAACATGTTGGACCAATC